TAAAAACAAACAGCCACGACAATAAAAAAAAAATGAATAAAAGGATATACAACCTAGAAGTCATCAAAAAATTGAAAGAATACATAAAATGCACGCTATCAATGAAGAGAAGGACGCCTTACAATCCAGTGGCGAGCAGTCAAGGGATTGCAATCACGCATTGCTTGCAGTTCTGATTTAAGCAATCTCTCTTCAGCATAGAATGCATTATTATGGACATTATTCTCCCCGGGCTCCTCAACTTTAACGTCCACCTCAACAACCTAGAAAAATGAAATAAATTATGAGTTACGTTGATTGGATTTTTCTTAATATAGAACTAGAATTGAAGATTATGTGCAAAGACTAAACTAACATATCTGTGATTGGTACACGAACAAAATAGACAATTAAATGCTATTTCTTTCAAATGAAAATATTAGCAAACAGAATGGTCAGGAAAATAATTTTTAGTTGTGGAAATATGCATGGAAATTTTTTTAGGTAAAGAGAATGAGAACTCAAATAAAACCAAGTGGAAAACACATATGAAAAGCTGAGAACTCTTCAAGTTATTAGCTGCACCAGAGCCACATTTCAGTAATTAACAAAAAAAACCCAGTTATTATGTCCAGCAACAACTAACAACCTGAAGCTTAAAAAGCAAGTTACCTGATTAAAAGTTTCACCAGGCTTACAATCAACAGCCATGTCCATGCGAGCAACAAAGAAGTGCTGATGCACTGGTGCATATAATCCCGGTGCAATCATTATACCATATTTTCGAAATTCTCCAGGCTGCAATGCTCCTAAACTGAGGATGCCTGTAAGTTTAACTTCAGCTTCAATTCTTCCATCCTGCAAGAAAATTAACATGGTAAGATGCATTATTAAGATTGACCCAGAAAAAAAAAAAAAAAACAAAGATGGCTTCAATATGAAGCTGATGTGAAGTTTAAGTATAAACTGTCAATTATTTGAAACATAAAACCTTGCGATGTGTAAAACTACTCAAAATTTATGGTTTTCTTCTATATAAGTTTCACTTTCTTTCTGATGAATTCCAACACAGTTTCTTCTATTTAGATATGATCTGCAGCACATGCATCAAACCTTTTACAGAAAATGTGGCCTTTGACTTGCCTGATAGAAATGCCAGAAAAAACCATACTCATAGTTAGCCACAGTGCAAATAAAAGAAACTGTTAGCCGTCTAGACCTTCGAACTTCGGCTAAACCTGTTCTCCAATCTTGATGCTTCCATAGGATACCATGATCCTCCTCATGCAAACATACACAGTTCTCAATTGTTTCAACTCCGCCAGTGAAATTTGTAAAATGAGCATCAAAATACTTGATATAGCCCAAACAATCACATCCCTGCAACAGCAGTAAAAAACTTCATGTGAACTTTAAGACAGGAAGAAGAACGAAGTAAAGAATTAAATTTCAAACCTTCTTAAGGGAATGTGCATTTTTTCCAAGCCCATCTTCTCCAGCATCAAAAGCATTCTTTCTGTAGTGTGGATCATTTGGATCCCCATACGGGACAACCATCTCCACAAAACTCAATCTGTGGGCAACAGGTCTCCGACCCCGACTACCATCAACATAAGCAACAGAGTATATTACCAAACCCTCCCTTGGAGTGAAACCAATACGAAAAATTCCACTGCCAAACAGACATCAAATAAATGAGGAGGATTGGCAAGCTTTCACTTACTAAAAAACAAACCAATACCAGTCTTCTCAGGTGTACCTTCTGCCATTCCACAAATGA